TTTACTATATGCAAAGATTAACATGTTTCGGGAAACGCAGAGCAAAGCATTGTTTTCTCTTGACTTAGTTTAAGCATATTTACTGCCAAACTTAGAAAAGGGATTAGGCACAAGTTATAACAACTTATCAATGCCTTCTCCCAATATACATTTGAAATGACATTACAATAATAACAATAAATATATACAATTGTTATTACAATTTGAACTCAAAATCTCTTGCTAGATTAAATGAAGTTTTGCACAGATCTAAAAATGTTTGAGTTAGGGTCCACGGAATATTGTGAATTGCCAAACAAAAGAATTTCTAAATTTAACGCAACATTCAAATTGATCAAATTTTGGACCAAAATAAGACTTTCGTTTGTAAAAAGTTGACATTCCATAAAATAGTGAAAGACATTCTCACAAGAATGACCACAATAACAAGATACACTCTCAACAAGGTTAACTCTAAAAAAGGTCATAATTAAGAGAACTGCACTGGTGTCGGAGCTTAGTATGCAAGATATTAAGTTTCCGATTTCCGATTTTAAAGTAAATATGTGGACTTGCCTGAATATTTGATGTTAAACAGGATTTGAATGAATTAATAGAGGGTAGGGATCGAACCGAATTGTCTAAGTTATTCCAATAGTGAAGAGTAGAAGGTAGAAAGGAATAGTTAGTAAGAGCTAATCTGAAAGGAGGAATCCTATAGTTATTATTGTTACGTAAAGCGTAACGATTATTTTCTCCAGATAAATGCGGCAAAAGATGATTGAGGTAATCAGGAGTTAATTTATTATGCATCTTATACAATAGTTAAAGTTTCCTTCGTTTTTTGAGAAAGTTTCAAAACTAGTTTCGTAATATAAAGTATTAATAGGGGTATATGAAGGAAGTCCTAATTTAATGCGAGCAGCTTCACGTTGGGCTTTTTCTAACTTTCCAGATTCAAAAACAGTGCAACCGTCCCACAACTCACAAGCATATTCTAAAACAGGTAAAATAAAAGTCTTGTAAATTATTAAAAGAGCATCCCTACTTAATAAGAGTTTCAGTTTCCGTAAGACATTAATTTGTTTCATAACAGAAGTGTAAATTCCATTTACATGATGCCCCACTTTGCATTCGAATTAAAAGTTACCCCTAAACGCTTATGACAATCTATAAAATTTAAGACTTTCCAATCAAATTCTAAATCTAAGTCTTCTTCGATATTGATTGAATTCGAAATAAACAATACATCTGTTTTTCAGGATTAAAATTACCCAACCAGGTTTTTGACCAAGTATTTAAGATTTCTAGGTCTCTATTTAAAGTTTCTTGAAGTTTTAGACAAGATTAAGATGACTTAAGTAATGATGTATCGTCTGCAAAAAGACGAGACGTTCATTCAAAAATATCTGCTATGTCATTAATAAATAAAAGAAATAAAAGTGGGCCAAGAATAGAGCCTTGAGGAACCCCTGCCTCAATTAGACCAACAGAAGAATATGAACTGTTTAAAAATACCCTTTGGTGTCTCTGAGACAAATAATTTTCTAACCACATAAGCAATTCACCTGAAATCCCGTACGATTTTAACTTCACTACAAGACCTATATGCCAAACCTTATCAAAAGCTTTGGATATGTCACAGAATACAACACACGTTTTTTTCTTTTTCTTGAGCTGAGACTCTGTAGAATGACCATGCATAAAACCAGACTGATATTTGTAGAAACAAAGAATTTTCTATAAAGTAGTTATACAAATGTTTAAAAATCACTCTTTCAAAAAATTTACCAACAGTGGACAGCAAGGAAATTGGTCTATAATTCGCAGGAGAATGTCTGTCACCCTTTTTAAACAATGGCATGATATTAGCTAATTTCCATTTATTTGGATAAATCCCTGTTGATAGGGACATATTAAATATTATTCCGAGCGGAGTACAAACAGTGCGAGCAGTATTTCTTAGCATATTGTGGCTGATTCCATCCCCATCCGAGGCCTTGCCGAGCTTCAATATCTGTAGAACATCGCGTATTTCAGTTTAATGTAATCCAATTGAACTAATATTTTTGTCAGTTTTTGGCTCAATAATCGGAACATCCTTGTTACTGTTATCTACTCTGGTAATACTATAAAATTAGTTATTTAATAATTCAGCTTTATCTTCATCTCTAGTAACTATGTCATTAGTAATAGGATCGACTAAGGAAGGTATAGGTTGTGAAGTATCAGACGTTTTAATTAACCTTTTAATTAATTTCCAATAAGACTTAGGATCAGATATGAGTACCCATCAATAATATCATAAACGTTTTCTTAAAAGTAACACGTGCATGCTTTTTCATATCATTAACTTTGTTTCCCTGTGATTTGAATTTATTGATATCTGCCAAACGTTTGGTTGACCTCGCTATTTTATGTAATCTATCTCTAATTCTTAATTTTTTCTAAGCTCAGAGGTCATCCATGGCTTATCATTAGGTTTAATATTCTCTTGACTTCTGACTGGTTCAATATAACTGTCTTGATAAATTACTACATTTATGCATGTTTGAGGCAATATTGTTTGAATCAAAATGTCTACTCATATGCATATCAAAAACTCGTTTTTGAAAGTATGAACTTTCTCTGTCTAGCCTTTTCCCCAACAACCAGCATTAAAAAGTACAGTTTGTTTCAAAGGTTTTTGCAAGGAATAACGCAAACTTCCTAAAACGCAAAAGAATGAAGGCTTGATTTGAGAACCCTCATCTCCAGTCAACCTGATTTCGTGTCTGGACATAATAGAGAATTGTTCAGAAAGAGCGGAGAACATCCGAATGGTACACAACAAGATGTTAAGGAATTTGATGTAATAATTGCCATGAAAAATGTCAGTGTGAGTATGTGTTTTCTATCGTGACTAGAAACGTATTTATTGCCTTATACCACTACACAATTTTTAGAAATGGACAGGTGTTGTCTTATATCATTATAAGCGTGGCATTCATGAGACAAATCTGGCCTAAATTACTGTAAGTGTTTTTTGAGTATTGCGACGGTCCATTTTTGCAATTTTGCGTCAATAAACGTATTTGAAAGGATATAAATTCGCGAATACACTTTACAAAACCGATGGTACGTACCTTTAAAAGTGACGCAAACACTTTACAACTGATATATTTAACAGTACCGGATAATAGAAAATAATTAAGAAATAATCAACGTTTATGTACGTGCTTGTATTATGGTGGAATATATAACGAGGGTTATAAACGAAAGCCGCTTTTTCCAAAAATCCCGAATTAAACATATGCTGATTATATCAGTTCTAAAACGTAACGAGTTTTTTTTATTCTTGTGTCTACCTCAGTGTCTATGAGCCTATGGTCAGCAATGTGACTAAGATAATCTAATTATTTCGTTTAGGCTGTTCTTTTGCGCGCCAGCGTTTGTCACATGATGCCAATATGTCTTCATTTCACAACAGGCAGTGCGCTTTTATCATTTCTGACATTGTGTGCACATGTCCTATATTGTTATTTAACCTGGATATATTTTGGATTCTTTGTCAATCTCCCTCGCCATTTTGTGATCAGACGATAAACAATTAACACTGACGTCATGCTTTGTACAAGATGTTTTTATCGACATCACTCGTCAATATATAAAATCAACATATGACCGATTTTAAAACACTAATCTAAGTCACCTTCGCAGTAATTTCCGCGGAACATTCTGATCGAGAAATTGGCAAAGGAAACCAGTCCCAGGGCTATCTTTGGCTTGTTAACATTGATGGGAGAGGTTCTTGGAAGTGCGTTGGTCTGTTGGAAAACTATGGTCTTTCATCCAAAATTGCATTTGTATTAACCAAAGGCAATGCAAAGTGTCGTTACATCGTAAACGTGGTAGAATTAGTATTATAAGATAACAATCCTTAAGGCCTATAAAATGTTGAATGAAAATATGCATTCTGCGAACAAAGTACCTGAAATGAGGCTTAAGTTGTGCATTTGATAGCTGGATAACTACCGTTGTGTGGCAACTGTGAGATACAGAACTTCGTACGGTACGGCCAGAAAACAGTCTTGCATCACTGTGGTCAGATTCATCAGGTTTGTTGTAAAAGGAAATAATAATATTGTGTTTCTGAAGCAAAATTTAACAAAGAATTAAATAGTTAATTCTGGCTATTTCCCAATGACTGGCCTTTCACCAAGGCCGGGGTTCGATTCCTTTATAGTATGTGAAAAGGTATGGGTGATTTAATTAAGAACAATTATGAAACAAGTTTTTATAACTTATATTAATTACCCTATATTTGGCTCTCATGTTAGCGCGCAGGGGGGTGTCTTAATGTGGGAGGAAACCGGAGTATCAGGAGAAAACCCACGCGGTCGTGAATTGTGGAAGGAAGAAAACAAATCTTATTCATCTAAAAATCATTAATGTTGCTTACCAATTATACAATTATATATGCTATCGAAAAGAGGTCTGGTGTGTATGCTTACTTGCTTGACTAGGGTCTTGATCAGGTGCAGTATGTGAAGATTATAAATACTATATTATTGTCAAGAGTTAATAGATTTGCTCTAATAAATAAAAATAAGTAAAAGTCTTAGAGACTAAAAAAAGTCCTGTGCACCAGAAGTATAGACTGAAGATACGTTTAGTCAAGAAATCAAGGAATTGTACTGCTATAAGGGGGCACAAACTGCAGTCAGTCGTCTGTCAACTGGTGTCATCATCTCGGAGGGTTCCATTGTAATGGCTTCTGTTCATTTCAGTATTAACTATTTCTTTTTGCATTTCGCTACACTATAATTGCTTAATTTAAAGAAAGGCAGTGAGATCTGAACTTTTGCTGATAATGGAGGGGGATGACTTATCGAGGCTCAATTTACGTGATTCGAAAGCTGTGCACGTCCCCTAAGATGAAACAGATAATTTCGAAAGAAAGTATATAATAAACATATGAAAAGATTTAATTAATTATTACATTTACAATTATTAAATATACAAATACTACATGAGCTTACCTTTAAAGTAACAGGAATCGACCCGCCCTGTGTCGTCTGGTAGTTATGGAGAGACAGACGAAGCCTACTCTATATAAACCTTGGCACAAAAAACAACCAACCTGTGGCACACTGGAAATTCCCGTTCTTATTACTTCCTTCTTGCTTGATCGTGATTGGTCGACATCTTGGAAAAGACAAAGGTCTCGGTGGGCAATATGTACAGAAAGAAATCATATTGTATAACAATCAGTCAAGTTTACTGATGTGTAACGTGCACATTACAATATATACCTGTTTACAATAACACCTAGTTGCAAATGACAGAAGCAGACGACAACAATGACACGTCAACCTGACCATACATTATTTTATTCTTTTGTGATTGATTTGATTTTTTGGCATCAAACAATATATGTATTGCCCTTACAGTAGAGAAACTCGATTCTTTGTTTCTCCTCGATTTATCATGTTTCACTTGAGCTTCTCTCTATTGGAACTTGATCAACATTTGTGAAACAAAACATCGTGTTTTCCTACAGTAAGGACAATACCTGTATATAGCTCACGAGGTAACTCCGACTCAATTTAAGGTACTAAAAAACTGTGCATGTTGAATGTCACGACCCGAATGTGAGTGACTCAAAAGCTGTATATGTGGATTGTAAAGGCTCCAATGTAAGTGACTCAAAATCTGTACATGTGGATTGTCAAGGCTCCAATGTAAGTGACTCAAAAGCTCTGCATGTTGAATGCCACGGCCCGATTGTAAGTGACTCAAAAGCTGTATATATGAATGGTCGAGGCTACAAAGCAAGTGACTCAAAAGCAGTGTATGTGGATTGTCAAAGTTCAATGTAAGTTACTTAAAAATTGTGCATGTGGATTGTCAAGGCTCCAATGTAAGTGACTCAAAATCTGTACATGTGGATTGTAAAGGCTCCAATGTTAGTGACTTAAAAGTTGTGCATGTGGAATGTCAAGGCTCCAATATAAGGTACTAAAAAAACGAACATGTGGATTGTCAAGGCTCCAAAGTAAGTGACTCAAAAGCAGCGCATGTTGATTGTCAAGGCTCCAATGTTAGTGACTCAAAAGCTGTGCATGTTGAATGCCACGGCCCGATTGTAAGTGACTCAAAAACTGTATATTTGGATTGTCAAGGCTCCAATGTAAGTGACTCCTAATCTGTACATGTGAATTTTCAAGGCTCCAATGTAAGTGACTCAAAAGTTGTGCATGTGGATTGTCAACGCTCCAATGTAAGTTACTCAAAAAACGAACATGTGGATTGTCAAGGCTCCAAAGCAAGTGACTCAAAAGCAGTGCATGTGGATTGTGAAGGCTCCAATGTAAATGACTCAACAGCTGTGCATGTGGATTGTCAAGGTTCAATGTAAGTGACTCAATTGTCTTTGATATTCATCGTTGCTTTTGTAGCAACAAAAACTATATCTGTTCCGGGAGAAATTATTTAACGGCATTAATTCAGTTTAAATTTTATTTTATTTTAACATTCATGTTCATTTGTTCATTGATTCATTGTAGTTGACACCGTTGTAAGCGCCGTGTTGCTTCTTAATGTAATCCAATCATATGTAATACAGTTCAATGATATAAAACAAGGAGACAATAAGCATCATTACACTTATGTAAATATTCCACCCCTATTCGATTCGGCACTTTAGGCATTGTACAAATGTAGAAATAAGACACAAGGGTAGGAAATTTGGGCGTGGACTATATATATATATATATATATACATTGTACGTATAGGCAATGTCGTATTTATTTATATTTTATCTACACTATATACACAATATGTTTACAAATTATATGCAAGAATAATCTCTACTGTATACAGGAGCATTTGATGAGGTTATGTGTTTCCAGTGGGTTGCTGACCTGTGTCCGTGTAAACTCCCGCCGGTAATGATCTAACCTGTTCAGCAACCAACCTTCCACCAAATCCATCATTGTTCTCGTAAGAAATACAGGGGCAATCAAAGACTGGTGTCCATATTTGCCCGTAGCTGAAGGTCAAATCTAACATTTTGTTTATGGACTGAAGTAATCAAGATATACCCATCAGCTTATGTTAAATATGTAAAGTATTATTATACAGTAAAGACGAAAGAAACAAAATATAACAAAATCATACAAACTTATTTGGATTTATTATAATAATTTGATAACATATTGTTCATCGACTAAAGTAATCAAGATATACCCATCAACTGATGTGAAATATGTAAAGTATTATTATACTGGATTAAAACCATGGGTTTCAGATTGTTATGTTGTTGCTCCAACCAACTGAGCTACCTGTTCTTTATATATAAAGATTTCAAGCACTAGTAGGGTATTATTTATCTTCATTTTCCAAAATTACGGGTATCAATTTTTGAACTTTAAAGATACAGTTGCCACACAAGCGCGTTACTGGTATACATGTACGCGCTATTCATTAAGCAATAAACCACATGAAATAAAAGTTTAAGTTTGCAGAAAATAATTAAGGTTAGAATTTGAAAAACTAGTAAAACAACAGCAGTAATTTAGAATTTACAACAACAAAAGTCTCGAGAACAGCCGAAAATAGACGAATCTTCATCAAATAGAATGACAATAACAGTTTATCTATGTGACAAACCGAATTGTGATTTATGTTCCCAGTGTTATAGTCCAGTGGGGATGATTAAGACGGGGAAAAGAACATTGAACGGCCATTGAATCAAGGATATACTGTTTTCTCCTTCCTCTAATAAAACATTACTTTGTCAAATCCAATTTTATCTCTGTACATCCTTGATGCATGCAGTTCATCATGACTGTATCAAAACAGTTGTAGAAAGATCTGCATGAAAACCCTACACATCAGCAAATACTAGTTTGAATGCAGATGTTTTCCATGACGAGATAAAACCTTTAAACACAAAAGTCACAAAGTGTTCTCCCTAATTCACAGCTACGTTGATGTACGATTATTTTTTGCATGTATTTCTCACTAACGTTTTGTACCTAAATTGTTTAAATCACAAGTAGAAACATATGTTGTTAATTGAATCAGCATCATATACAGTTGTGTAAATGTTGTGTATATTGTGTACATATATTCATGCCTGTATCTCATACATAAATATAAATAACACACAGTTAACCATGTCGATGGTTATCACACTAGTAACTCTTTTACAGTTTATGTCAGTAGGCCAAGTGTGTAACACTTATATTTGCCAAAATACCAGTACATACCATGTGCTTTTATGTATGTGTTAGTCTTGATTCAGAAAGCATCTTGCAAATCCTTAATAATTATACCTGTGGTTGTGTCTGAGTTATCTCCCTTTAATAGCTTTTACATTATACCTTGCGTTTGTCTGAGTTATCTCCCTTATACCACTTGTTATACCTTGTGTATGTTACCCTTTAGCCTTTGTATGCATCTTTCCTTTGACCATCACGCAGCCAAGTTGCTCATGTTGCTTGTTTCATTCCAGATAGGTTACTGGATGTATTTCACCTAATTCACAGCTGAACACAATATTGTGGGTTATTAAACTCACTCACCCCTGCAATTTCATAATGAACTATTCCAACCTTTGATTTGGAAGAGTTCAAATGTGTCTTCAGGGGTGAAAGAGTTAACTGGACCTTTCCTTATGGATATTTTTAAACCGTGTACACTTTTTATCTAAATACTATATTTGTCAGTTTAATGGGATTCACATTAATGGGGCCACTTTTGCACCTTAAATCACTACAGAATCAAATCTTCTTTCAATTTAAATAAGGTCTTGTATTGTCACTGTGTCTGTTGTGTAAAGAGGATGATATCCTAGTGAGATAATGCTGTTTTTGTTGATCATCGTTCATCATGGTGCCACTCTTCCTTTTGTGTTGCCTATCCCAGACCTTCGCTGATGTTGCCTATCCCAGACCTCCGCTGATGTTGCCTATCCCAGACCTTCGCTGATGTTGCATATCCAAGACCTTCGCTGATGTTGCCTATCCCAGACCTTCGCTGATGTTGCCTATCCCAGACCTTCGCTGATGTTGGATCTAACGCCTTGGTGGCAAGCAACATGCTTTATTGTACTGCCTCTAATTTCTGAGTGTTAAACTACTAATATTCAACACTGCAATTCAGCTCTCAGGGTTGGGCTGGACAATTATAACTTCCTTTGATGCATGTTATCCATGTAATTAATTTAAACATCCCTAGTAATCTGTTTGCCTTGATTGAGATGTTATCTATGTGGATTTTCTTTTGAACCTGATGGTATATCCTAAACATGGTTTGAGTTGATTTTCTCAATGTTTGACCTCCTATGGTAAAAGTCTGGTTCAGCCCTTATTTGGTTGCTATAGTGATATATATTGATATGTCACCTATTCACACCCATTATTCTCCAACTACCAGCCATGTGTCATCTTTCAGTAATATTAAAGAGTGATATGATCTATGTTAGTTATTCACATTAAGAAATTTGCCTCAATTTAGGGGCGAGTCAAGAGAACTTCAATCAAAGAGACAGTATAAATATGTTTAAGTCGAGGCTCTGCTGAGGTCTAGATATTTCAGAATCTTATGACTTGACCTTTTCTATCTTAGCCGCAATGTTCGAATCAGATTTGTCTCCTATCCATGGAAAATTCTTTGATATATTGCACATTAAATAAGTTTTCAATATTATCTTAAACAAGCTTGATATTTCAGAATCTTATGACTTGACTTTTTCTATCTTAGCCGCAATGTTCGAATAAGATTTTTCTCCTAACCATGATATTGCGCATAAAATAATGTTTTCAATATTATCTTAAACAAGCTAGATATTTCAGAAATCTTATAACTTGACTTTTCCTATCTTAGCCGTAAATTTTCGAATCAGATTTTTCTCCTATCCATGAAACATTCTGTGATATACTACACATGAAAAAAAGTTTTCAATATTATCTTAAACAAGCTAGATATTTCAGAATCTTATAACTTGACTTTTTCTATCTAAGCTTCAATGTTCGAAACAGATTTTTCTTCTATCCATATAATTTGTTTTTATGATATATTGCGGATGAAATAATGTTTTCAATATCAACTTAAACTAGTTACATAATAGAGAATCATATAATTGTAAAAAGGTAACTTCACTAAATATTCATTGTCACTTTACCATTTGGAGCAATTTTGCCTCAGTACTTGTATTTCGTCAACACCCTAGATTTTTGACAGTATGATTCCGTGTAAGGAATACGACATCAATTGGTCTGGTTTGGAAATGAGAAGACGTTGGCAATTAGATACGCTTAGTTCCAAATGTTGTAAAATGATGACATTGATGACTAGAATCACTCCTATGGAAGGTCTATCATTACTTCGACTTCGTGATGCTGCAGAAGTCGAACTGGGAAATATTTGTTTGTGTGGACATGGTCAAAGACTTGAAATTAATCCAGGACCAGAAAACTCTGTGCCACACTCATCAAAATATTTAAAAATATGTCATCTTAATACACGTATTATTATTGGTTATTAAGATTATGATATAGTAACTTTAAGTGAAACTTGGTTAGATCCTTCCATTGACAACACTATATTAAATATAAAAGGTTTCCAAACACCTACTAGACTGGACAGAAATCGACATGGCGGTGGGGTAATAGTTTATGTGAAAACCCATATAGCATAAATAATTTGGAAGCAATCTGGATTGAAATCAACCATATCAAAGGTCCTCTACTTGTTGGTACCTTCTATATACACCCAAGATTTGATAACTGGAACTTGGTTGAATATTCTATTGAGCAAGCATTAAGTGTTAATAATAAAATTATCATTCTTGGAGATTTTAATGAAGACATTTTGATACCCAACAAGTCGAAAAAACATTAAAAATATTTTAAACAATTTTAATCTTTCACAAATTATATGTGAACCGACTCGTATTACAGAAACCACTAGAAGTCTGATTGATGTAATAATGATCAGCAATCAAACACAAGTTTTATCTCCATGAGTCCTTGACCCCATTTGTAGTGACCACTATCCAGTCTTTGTCACCTTAACACAATTTGAAAATCCTTGCCATACATATAAACGTAGGGTCTGGAAATATGATAAAGGCAACTATATAAATAACAGACAGGCTATTATTGACAGTGATTGGAACATGAACAATTTATCTGTAGGTGAGCAAGTTAACAAGCTTACTAGAAATATCATATGCGCTGCCGAATCACATATTCCAAATAAGACTGTAACTATATGTTCCAGCGATAAACCCTGGATGCATAATGAAATTTAGAGTTAGAAATCGGTTACACAAAATAGCTAAGTCGTCCAACAGTACGGATCGTTGGGCTGAATTCAGGCACAAGAGAAACGAAGTAACGTTGCTCATACGAAAGGCGAAGATCTCATACATGACCAAACTTGGAGATGAAATTGACAATAATAAAAAAACTTAAGCCCCCGGGATTGGTGGCGATTTGCAAAGCAATTCTTCAAACAAACTTCTGACTGTCAATATCCTCCAATCTGTCATAACAAGACCACGCTTTTTACTGCCTAGGAAAAGGCGGAAGCCTTCAATAGTTTCTTCTGTGATCAAGCGACTATCAATGATCAACATATGACACTTCCTCCGAATCAATTACCGGAAACTTTGCTAGCTAATATACATATTTCACCTACTGATGTTGAAGATGCCCTGAAACTTATAAATGCCAATAAAGCCTGTGGCCCTGACTTAGTAAATCCGAGACTGCTAAAAGAGGCTAGCGCAGAACTGGCTATGCCATTATCAAACTTGTTTAATTCATCTCTATCTCTTCATGAGTTCCCCGAAGTTTGGAAAACTGCAAATGTAATTCCAGTCCATAAGAAGGGAGAGAAATCTCTAGTACCAAGTTATAGACCAATTTCTCTTTTAAGTTGTATAGCAAAAGTATTTGAAAAATGTATATTTAAATATGTTTATAACACTTGAGGGAAAATGGCTGCATTACACCCTTTCAATCTGGTTTTACCCCAAAAGATTCTTCTATATTTCAATTAACCGATATTGTAAATACTTTTTTCCAAGCGATTGATAGTGGCAAGGAGGTTCGGTTGGTGTTTTGCGACATTAGTAAAGCCTTTGATAGAGTGCGGCACAGGGGTTTAATACACAACCTTAAGAAAAAATGGTATTTCTTGTACATTATTATCTTATTTTATGAGCTTTCTCGATGGACGCAGTCAAAAAATAATTGCTGAAGGGAATTCATCTGATAAAGGGAAGCTACAGGCATGTGTGCCACAAGGCTCAATACTAGGGTCTCTTCTGTTTATTATATATATTAAAGATATTGTTAATGGTATAAATGCTACTATTCGATTATTTGCAGACGATACTTCACTTTACATCATAGTTGAAAATCCGACTCACTCAGCAGAGTTACTAAATTCCGATTTGACTACTTTAAGTACCTGGGCACAGCAATGGTGTTCTTTTCTCATATTAGGCCTATCCCAGAATATGCGGATATTGTATGGGGGAACTGCAACCAACAGCAGATTCTTGATCTAGAAAAGGTACAAACTGAAGCAGCTCGTACTGTGACAGGTGCAACCAAGTCCGCGTCTTCACAATCAATTGTTAATGAAACCAAATGGGAATCATTGTCCTATAGGAGATATAAACATAAGATGCAAGCTATGTATAATATAGTTCATGGACTTGCTCCCCCATATTTACGAAATCGCCTACCCCCATCAACCGGCTCCAAGGTTACAATTTAAATAATTTGGAAGCAATCTGGATTGAAATCAACCATATCAAAGGTCCTCTACTTGTTGGTACCTTCTATATACACCCAAGATTTGATAACTGGAACTTGGTTGAATATTCTATTGAGCAAGCATTAAGTGTTAATAATAAAATTATCATTCTTGGAGATTTTAATGAAGACATTTTGATACCCAACAAGTCAAAAAACATTAAAAATATTTTAAACAATTTTAAACTTTCACAAATTATAAGGTTACAATTTAAGATCAAATTTGAATATGCACCCTCTACATAGCAGAAACAATATTCATATGTCTTCTTTCTTTCCTACAGCCATCCGTGAATGGAATTCGATATCTGAACATGTTAGGGAAAACCCAATTAAATCTTCTTTTCTCTGTTACCTTAATAAGAATAAGTGTAAGATACCCGATTACTATTACTTCGGCAAACGGCGTGCTCAGGTACTTCATACAAGGCTTCGACTCGAATGCAGCTCATTAAACCATCATTTATATAATAATCATATTTCAGAAACCAGCCTGTGTTCCTGTGGTTGCATTGAAACCACTTCTCACTTTCTCATTGAATGTAGGAACTACATTTGTTTAACACAATTCGGGCCGAAACCATAGCAAAGTTAGGAGTAATCGTTGACATCGGAAAGTTATTGCATAGTGATCCAAACTTGTCTTGCAATGACAATACAGAACATTTTAATCAGGTGCAAAGGTTTATCAATGGAACAGGTAGATTTGGGTGACTGCATGGGTTTCCATTCCATTTTCACTTCATCATCATCAAATCCCCCCCCTCCCCCCCCCCCCCCTCCCCTTCTAGCTCTTAACCTACATATATAGTCTCTATACTCTAAAGGAAATAGTACCATTATTCTCTACTGCTAATCCTATTACCTTTTATTTCAAATGGTTGGCCTTGATTGTTAAATAAGCTATATCAGTTGAATTTATATAATTATTGATGTTATTTAACCTGTTTGTGTTATACTGCAATCTCCTCATTGTTGGGAGATGGCTTAATATAAGAGTCCACTCTTGTTGCCAGATCCCTAATATTACTTATATAAAATTATATATTATGTACAGCATATTTGTAAATAAAATATTGTTTAAACCAAAGACTTAGTGATATTTGGAAGAGCCAGGTCTACGAATTCCCTCCTGTGTGTGACCAATGTCAATTCAGTGGTGTTAGCTGAGTGTCGCAGAATAGTTTCCGTCTAAAGCTGTGCTGGACTGCTGTAATGATGTTGTGTATCACTTTGTGTCATGATGTTCATGACCACTTTATGCTCGGTATGCGCTACGGTTTGAAAGGGGATGAAAATAAGTAATAATTTTAATTACTTCTGGTATTCATAAGTGAGGGTTAACGTGCGATCGGTACAACATAGATTAGGAGATCTTAGATAAAAACTGGAATCAGTTTAGAGGTACTGTGTGTGAAACTTCTTACTTTCTAAACACAAAAGCATCAGGTATGGCTTTTGGGAACAGAACACTTTAAGTTTGATACAGAGGAAGAAGTAAAACATTAAGGCCCAAAAAATGGGACACAGCATAAAAAGAAAATAGTCAGGCCTGGAAACGATGTTCGCAATAAATGCAAGCAGGACATGGGCACTACATCAACAATCTGACCAACCGCAAAGTGATACTTCAAAAGGATTGGGACTTAATGCAGACTAAACGGACACAACCATCATATCTGTTATCCAAGCAGTTGGGGAAAGTTTGTAAATCTGTTTTCACTAAGGAGAATTAACAGGAATGGGCATTCAGTACACTCTCTTTCTCCGTCATCAGACGAGGAGTACAGAAAGTGATTAGGAATATTCAAAACAGAAATATCTGACAATAATCAGAAAAAGTGGAAATTGTCATGCAGTGGACATTTTCTATTATTTCGTGCTTTCTAAGTTAGCATAATGTATAATATGCATAGTTGTATATTAAAAACTCCAAGTAGTTTTTTTTATATGTTTACACATCAAATTTGAAGAGGTTATTATCAAGTTATATGGTATAACACAATTAGCTACGATTATCATCAGTGTCAATGTGCTTATACTTGGAAAAGTTTAATACTCGTGTAAATTGTATACATTATATGATGCAAAAATGTGCATAGGTAAAACAATAAAACAAATTCAAACAATGTTTTTAGTCTTTAATATAATATATAAAAGCAATTACGTCAATGATTGTGATTATAATATAGTTCTTCTTCATGGAGGAACATACATGTATTTATGCTACGGAGGCAAAATACTGTTTGTAACGTATTGATGTTTTCTTCTAACACGATCAGAGATATTGAGAAAAATGTAAAAGAATCTTTGATTAATACGAAATCACTTTGTAGTATTATTCACCACGTCTGTTATTACATGTATTATATTAACATTTGTTTTGTTATTTGCTGATTAATACATATACAAAACACCAAACGTATTGGCAAAAAGTGTTAGCTTATTGTCAATTATGACCTTTGAGTTTTCTAGTCTAACTATATGTATAAGATATTGTTACACGATAGACAATATGTTCCTCTATAGGAAAAAATAGCAAGTACTTATGTCGCTTGTATAGACATGTGTCACAATAAACCGTCACCAGATATTGAATATCTCGATAAACACATAAAATATTTCAAAGTTATGGTCACATGAGTTCATATCAAAGAGTAAAATAGCAAAAGTAAAACAAATATTAGACAGGGGTAATTGAATCAATTGACAATTATACATGGGTTGACCAAGCCTTGCAAATGCTATGAAATTGATGAAAGGATCCTAAAAGCACCTTTTAACTAAAATGCCTTTAAAGGGTCAAAATGAGCCTTGAAATGGATAATGATATAAAACAATTATTGTATATTGTTTTTGGTGGTTTTGTGATGCCATTCTGATAGAAATGAAGTCAGTAAAATCATGTTGACTTCTAGATTTTCGGACTTACGACCAATGTGAGAGTTTTTGATATTTATATGATGAGTTTATATCAATCTGGAATACACATACAGGTCTCTGTATTTTGAGAACGTGAAAATGATGTGAATTGTTACGCCTTAATTTTAATTTAAAAGGCCCTTAAGACCTTAAATTTCATAGTGAAATTTCTGTACGAACTCCATTATTGGAGAACAAGGACTGGAGGTACCTACTGTCAAACCTTGTACAGTTATAGAACTGTTAAGTCCATAGTGTAAATATTGGTAGTTATAGGAGAACTAGGATTGTTAGTGAACAGACATATACAGGATATATAGGTACAAACTGTTCATCTATAGACATTAATTGGAGAACTAGGGTTGTAGGTCAATAGACATTTATAAGACAGGGAGGTACAAATAATAAATATTTAGACATTAATGAGAGAACTAGGGTTGTAGGTCAGTGGACATTTATAGGACAGGAGGTACAAAAAATAAATATATAGACATTAATGAGAGAACTAGGGTTGTAGATCAGTAGACATTTATAGCACAGGGAGGTACAAACAATAAATATATAAACATTAATGAGAGAACTAGGGCTGTAGGTCAGTAGATATTTATAGGACAGGGAGGTACAAATATTAAATATATAGACATTAATGAGAGAACTAGGGTTGTAGGTCAGTAGACATTTACAGGACAGGGAGGTACAAAAAATAAATAAATAGACATTAATGAGAGAACTAGGGTTGTAGGTCAGTAGACATTTATAGGACAGAGAGGTACAAAAACTAAATATATAGACATTAATTAGAGAACTAGGGATGTAGGTCAGTAGACATTTATAGGTCAGGGAGGTACAAACTATAAATCTTTAGACATTAATGGGAGAACGAGGGTTGTAGGTCAGTACACATTTATAGGTCAGGGAGGTACAAACTATAAATCTATAGACATTAATGGGAGAACGAGGGTTGTAGGTCAGTAGACATGTCTGTAAATCTATGGACATTAATTGAGAATCGGGACTGCAAGGTATTACTATAACTCATCAGTAAAATTTAGTTGATGGACTTTTTGCGTTTTTGGCGAGGAAACTTGACCTTGCCGTGAAGTTAATTATCTTGTGTAAATTTATTCAGATGAATCGTTTATCAAATACAATAAATAATAAGGCAGATAGTTGCAAAAATTCAATGATTTACAAGTAACAGATTACATACTATATATATGTAACGAGGTTTACCCTTCTGTGGTTAATATGTGGTGATACAAATTTAATGTTTCCGTTTAACATTTCAATAGTGAAAAACACTACAAATTAAATGGTTATTGGTATAGAGGCAATATCTAAAAGTCTCAATACAACAGTTTAACACGCCTGATCGTTATACACCCAAACATGAACCTACTAAATATGTAATATACTGCACATGTATTGTGATTTACAGTCCGTACTGTTACACACGTAAACGGCATGATACAATTTCAAAACAGCTTTACTTTACTTTCATTTTCACGTAAGCAAGAAGTTCAGCACTACATTTGCATTGCTGAAGAGTCTGTAAGAATTCGCCTGGTAGTCTGTCTCCGAGTCTGATGGCGTAGTCGGACAGTCGGTATTTATCCAGCATCTTCCCCTTCGCGTCTTGTTCACTCAGCTGCATGTTCTTGATATAGTCGACCTGCGCCTCGGGGAGCTTGAGAGCAATCGCCAGGTCCTTCCATTCCGGTCCAAGCATCTTCGACATACTTAGGAGTGACACCTCAGAAAATACACCTACACAGATGTAAATAAACAATCCATAGAGTGTAACAGTGGTAGATGTACGTATATACATGTGATATAAAGTTTTATCGGAGTAGTCTCCCGTGTAACGTGTTATATACATGGTATAAATTATATTATAACCATCAATAAAATACCCGGAATTTGCCTTTTTGTGTATTATGGTTTTCCGTCTCCGTATCTTGTTTCTATGTTTTGTTGTTTGACTTCGTGTTTCCGGGAATAAAATGAAAAGTTGAAGAGTGAAGCTGTTTCGATTTATCTCTTAATAATCTTCTCACATCGCAAACCCAGCACACACGTAATGAAATCAAGATTTTGACATTGAAAACCATTGATCGAAATATACAAAAAAACTTAATGATAAAAACAAGATAACAATTGAAAAATAACAACCATACAGAATATTGGTATGTTTACAACAAATTGATTTACCCACCTGTATCCATGTACAGCGCCACCAACTGACGAGCTTCTTTACACCAAGGATATTGTCTGACAGCATGTAGCATTTTCTCAAGCTGAAACAAGAGGGACATAATATATATTTGTAGATATATATCTTAAAATCAGGATGAAAAAAATGCTGACTTCCAAGGAATCCATTCAGCATCATAGAAAATAAATGTATGTCATTAAATTTTAACAACACAGGGTGATACGGTAGACGATAGACACATCATAGGTGTGCAGAGACACGAAGATTAAACCATAGAAGAAACAATTTGATCTCTTCAAGCAGTCTGGAAGGAAGAAGCTTAGTCGCCTTTTTCAATTCTGCACTGGGATATAGCAGGCCAGGTTCACCTTTAATAAATACATATACCTTCTTCTGCTTTTCATCCTGGTTCTGGTTTGCCCATATGTATAATGTTGTCGCGAATCTGACACTGTCCGTGTCATCCTTGCATTGTTTCTCCACGCGCGTCTCTATTTCTTTCACTTCATTTGGTGTATCCATCTGAGTAAATATGCTATGCATTTCCTGTCTGTTGGTCGTCTTTGAACCGATGAATTTCGTGAGTGCTTGGACTAAATGAGACGTTTGTATTATGAAGATACGGTCAATGCAAAGATAGGGTTTTGTTTTGTTATATAAATATAGCTACATGCGAATTACGGAATTATTAGATAACCATATGATGAGTTTAAAAAACACCTGTTCACTTCGACATACATGATTGATAATACCTCTATATATAATGGGCATACACACATGGTTGATAATCCCTTTTTATGTTATTGACGTTATACATAGTTGATCATTGTGTCTAGTCTTTTGGTAGCCCCTCAAGATGTATATTTTTTCGAAATTTACAATATTTGCATATTTTATTTTTTGTGTTTGTGATCAGAATTGTCAATCATTTTTATAAGTCGCATGTAATATCATATGTTATAAAAAGACAAATGAAAATAATCCTAACACGTTTTAATCTAATCAATTATGTCATACTTACTGTCCCCATTCACTGACAGGTGCGACAGGTACCGCTTTGTCGTCTGTAATTAAGGGGTATAAATCTGAGTAATACTTAATTTACTGATGAAGATCTTAAAAGAAGCCACCAAACACATGACTTAACCGTAGTAAAATCATCACTCGGCTAACAGTAGCAATTATAAAGTTATACTCAGCTAAACGATAACAAGAATTACACTCCGCAAAACGGTAGTACACAGGGCTTAACAATAGTTGACGTTTATACCTGCCTAAGGTACTAGAAGTTAACCCTGAGCTATCCGGTGGTGTCATATTTCAGACTCACATCTATATATTTACTGATTTGGTGCGCAACACAGAAAATTCAGCAGAGTGATTAACCAGTGAAATGTAATCAGAACAACATAAAACAATATAATTCCCAAGGAAAGCATGGTCATGAGCAGGGAGCAGGTTTATATATATGTTGGTAATATAGGTAGCTTATTACCCGATATACATGTATTTAACTTCTCAAATATGGCAAACACAAAGACATCAGATAAATGATAATGAAGCACTTGTGTAAACTTGTAAATGTTAAGCGCCTTACTTTCACCCAGACAACTTCCACGGAGTCAGTCCTCTCCTCTAGAGGTTTCCTGGCCTTGACACGGTAATGCAGTAGACCTCGGTAGCATTCGTCATCCATCTGTTCCGGACATGTCTTGTCTACGACATATATACTACAGTTCACTTTGCAAATGTCCTTTTGGGTTTTGAAGGGGAATTTCACCACCTCTCCTTGCAGAATTCGTCTACCATTGTGTTGAAGACCAATGTTGCCCGACATGTATAAATCGACGATGTCTCCATCCACGACAGTGAAGTCAGCTAGCTCCATTGGACCTCGCGTGTAGCCTTGCTCCTTCAGTCGACTGATTTCCTTTGATGCTTGTTCCGTTGGAAGTACATGTATAAAGGTTTCGGCCTGGTAATCATCTTCTTTCTGTCTGCAGACGAGTGTAACCGTTGTTACAAACATTCCTTTTCCAAACTCGTCGGCAATTCCTTTAATATCTGTCTCTGACGAGTCACCAGAGACCGTAAGTGACACCAGACTTGAAATGTACAGAACAATGAGATACCTTCTAGTCTCACTTTTACATTCTTATATTTGCACATAGCTAAGTAATACGGTATCACACTTCAATGTTAATACAGATAAAACAATTGTTATTGGTATTAAAAGTATTTTCTAATTTATCACAATGAATTGTCAAAAACCACCGAAGCAAAACTGTAATAACAACTCAAAATTGATATTAGAAATTGTTGACTAACAATTAACCCATGTTAAACCTAAACTGAAAATGTTATATTTTCAAATTAAAAAAAAAATGAAATTATAAAACTTAGTTCTGAAATTATGCTGTTTTTGTTTTAAAATGTATACTGAAGTACTGATACACAATTACAAAACTCAAAAAGTTGCATATGTGACCCTGGTGACCTTTAGAAAAAACATCATTAACTAGAACACGGACAGGTCAGTGAGGGCCCCGTCTTGTGGCAATATATCCGCCATAATCATCAAGAAGCAATCTGCCCATATAGCTGAGCTTGACGCCTGATATTTGGACTTCAAAAAGAATCGTAAGGAAGCAAAATATACATATAACATGTACTATGATGTGAGTCTTGTTTCCTTCCACCTCCATATTTGCTGGGCTAACAGAAATGTAAACACCGGTGCTATACTCATTTGTTAGCTTTGATATGTTTTATTTCACTTTAAAAACCTCCTCCATCAAGAGCAAGGGTCAAAGTCAGAGATCCACTTTGTCTTTGACCTTGACCTTTAACCCAGTGACCCTGATCTTTGGTCAGTTGACTTATTCTTTGATTCCAACCAACTTTGCATCTTAATATCATAACAAAATCTTCATCGGTGAAAAATACAAAACTTGACCTTGACCTTGAACCTTTGGACCCCGTAACCTTGACCTTAGGTCATTTGACTCTGTGTTACGTTCTGAACAATTTTGCTTCATAATAACATAAAAATAATGTTCATCAGTAAAAAGATACAATATTTGACCTTGACATTGACCCAGTGACCTTGACCTTTGGTCAGTTGTCTCCTTGTCATAATCATAACAAACATTGCTTTATAGTGTCATAACAAAATTTTCATCAGTGAAATGATACTAAATTTGACCTTTATCTTTGATCTAGTGACCTTGACCATAAGTCAGTTGACTCTTTGTTGAATTCTGACCAACTTTGCTTCATAATGTCATAACAAAATGTTTCTCAGGGAAAATATATAAAATTTGACATTGACCTTTGACCCAGTGACCTTGACCTTTGATAAGTTGACTCCTTGTTTAATTCTGACCAACATTGCTTCATAATGTCATAACAAAATGTTCATCAGTAAAATGATACTAAATTTGACCTTGAACTTTGATCTAGTGACCTTGACCATAAGTCAGTTGACTCTTTGTGGAATTCCGACAAAATTTGCTTCGTAATATCATAACAAAATGTTCATCAGGAAAAAAAATACAAAATTTGACCTTGACCTTTGACCCAGTGACCTTGACCTTTGGTCAGTTGACTCCTTGTTTAATTCTGAGCAACATTGCTTCAAAGCATCATAACGAACTATTCACCAGTGGAAAGATACAAAATTTAACCTGGACCTTTGATCCAATGACCTTGACCTTTGTTCAGTTGAGTCCTTATTTAATTCTGATCAACATGCTTCATAGTGTCATAACAAAATGTTCATTAGTGAAAAAATGCAAAAATAGACCTTGACCTTTGAACCTAATGACCTTGACCTTTGACCTCGACTTTTGACCTCGGTGTGTCTTTGTTTAATGTCGATCAACTTTGCCTCATAATGTCATAAAATGCTCATTAGTGAGAGGCTACAAAATTTGACCTTGACCTTTGACCTACACCTCTGACCCGATGACCTTGACCTTCGGTCAGTTTACTCCTTGTTTTATTCTGATGAACTTTGCTTCATCATGTCATAACAAAATGCTCATCAGTGAAAAGATACAAAATTTGACCCGGACCTTTGAACCTTATGACCTTAGCCTTTGACCTTGACTTTTTACCGAAGTGTTTATTTTTGTGAAATGAACATCTTGACCAAGTTTCATGTAAATTGGTCAATGAATACCAAAGTTATTAGCCAGGAACAAAATGTGTGGACAGACAGACAGACAGACAGACAAACAGGGTGGTTACTAAAGGGTACCCGTATCTCCGATACGGGGCCCTAATAATGGAATACAGGTAAAAATTGAATGGGTACATATCTCTTGCACTATCTTCAATACTACATGTTTGATATTAAAGATGAATAGGTATGAATACGACGAAGTTCACATGGCATCAATGGCAGTCCAATAAGTTAACACTGTCAATCCCACCTGTCCGCGATGTTACAGTTAATCATAGTATGCCATGTGAACTTAGAAAAAGTAATTGTGCATCCTTCAGCAGAATGCAACCACAGCCTTTTAAAAGTTAATAACATTCCTGAAAATAACATGATCATCATCTGTAACCATCCAGGAAGGCACAAAATACTGTCTTCCTAGTTCCTGCCATTTTATATTTATATACTACTTGCTTAACTCCTTCATTTCAATCCTTCGTGCATAGCATCTATAGGTGGGATAATTACTATCGATTGCAATTGATCGCAGTTTGCTACTGACCAAATATCTGTGTCCAGGGCCTGTGGAAAAGTCGTTTAAAGAGTTTAAGACATTTTACCCATATGAACTTGAAAGTAGCTCAAAGTCAACCATTTTCACAAAATTGATAGCCAGTCACCTGAGCACCTTATGAATTAAATATCAAGACTTTACACCTTGTAGAACTTTAAAGATGATTTCATTTTTTTACCGGAAATAGCACTTTTGAAATTTGACACCGGAAGTTGACTTTTTACACGATGTTTTTTATTGATATCGATTGCAATTGATTGCGGTAATCTAATGACCAAATATCATTGCCCTTGCTCTCTTGGTTATTGTGGAGAAATCGTTTTAAGGTTTAAAGACATTTGACTCCTATGACCTTAAAAGTAGGTCAAGGTCAACCGTTTTTACGGTTTAACAAACTTTATAGCCAATCACCCGATCACCTTATATATGAAATATCAAGACTCTAGACCTTCTAGAACTTAGAAAGAAGATATTAAACTTTGACCCCTGCCGAAAACCGGAAGTTCCCTTTTGATACATTTTTGTATTGCAATCAATCGCAATTGAAATCAGTATGCTACTGAGCTAACAGCATCGCCTTTGGTCTCTTGGTTATTGAGAAGAGTCTGTATAACAATTATTAGACATTTGGCCCCTATGACCTTGAAAGTAGGTCAATGTCAACTATTTTCACATACCTGATAGCCAATCACCTGCACACCTTATATATGGAATATCAAGACCCAAGATATTGTAGAAGTTAATAAGAATTTTCAAATGTGTTACCTTATATAGTACTTTTGAAATTTGACCCCTACCGAAAACCGAAAGTTGACTTTTGACACAATTATTTTTATTGCAATGAAAAGAAATTGATAGCAGCATGCTACTGTCCAAATATCATCACCCTATGCCTCTTGGTTATTGAGGAGAGACCGTATTCAGAGTTTTAGAAACTTGACCCCTAAGACTTTAAAATTAGGTCAAGGTCAACTATTTTCACAAACGTGATAGCCAATCACATGAGCACCTTATATGCACCCAATACCTTGTAGCACTTAAGGAGATTTTTTTTAAATGTGTATCACTTTTGAAATTTGACCCCTGCCGAAAACTGGCCGTTGACGTTTTACCCAAAAATGTTTCCTGGGAAAAAAAAAAATTGTGTTTCAAAGAAGTCAAGAGCGCAACCAAATTCGAAAACACTATCTTGGGAAACTTTTGTGCGATAAATAATTTGAAAAATATCTCAAAAAAATTGATTTTAATATGTTGTCGGCAATTCAAAAGATCTAAGGAAATTTTCAAAATGGCGTACGTTGCAAAAGGAGTTTTTCAAAAATATTGAAAAATGAAAAAAATTGGTGACTTTGACCCAACAGAGAGGATTTGTATTTGACTTTCTTTGTCATAACATTTTATGAATAAATAATAATAATAATAATATAATCACATGACTGCTGTACAATAAACAATTTTTGAGTTATGGCCATTGTAAGATTTTAACCTATGACGTCATGGCGGCCATATTGGAATTTTGACCTACTTGAAAATGTTGCAATGACAACCTTTGACCTTGGCCTACAATCTACTCATAAGACTGTCAACACATATGCTACCAATCAAAAGATTAGGTGGCCACAAAATCAGGGTAGAAGAAGAAGAAGAACCATTTCCATCCGAAATGGAAATCCCTAATAAGAAAAATCATAACAATAAGAATAGGGATTTCCATCCGAAATGGAAATCCCTAATAAGAAACATAACAAAAACAATAGGTCTTTTCACCAGTTGTTGACAAGCCCTAATAATAATAAGAAACATAACAATTCCAATAGGTCCTTTCAATAGGTGGTGAAAAGCCCTAATAACTAGCGAGAACTACATTATTGAAGACATGCCCATTTAATCAAGGTCAAATCAAAGATATTCCACATCTTCAACCGAGAACCAAGAACCAGGGTAGTGGCAACAAAACAACAATTACACTAATGAGCATAATGAAAATACATCAACCTTTATATAATGTAAGGAAAAGGTATATTTCTCAATAAAATAATTATGATGACCGTAATCTGTGGAAACCTTGTGTTGCATGTTTTTGGTTCAAAATCTTGAATACTTGTAAACACAGTAGGCTAGAGAAGCTTGGATGTTACTTTCAAGAAGGGGAAAATTCACTGTCGGAAAAGGAAAATCGCCCCCACTTACCCTACAGTTTGATAGTAAGCCATTCCTGCTTTTGATGTTGTAAGTACAGAACGAGAAATGGGCAGAGTAGAAGAACCAGTGTCCTGGAGTTTATGCACATAAGGGTGATACGATCGACGTACATTTCTAGCGATTATAGACAGCATGTTGTCTGAATGTAAAATTAAAAGACCTAGCTTTGTTTATGTTTTCAGTCTTGATAAGTCTCATATGAATAAAAAAAGGGAGGGGGCGGGGCGGGGGG